AAAAAAAATTACCACGTCTATCTGTTTCTCTAATGCCCACTACATATTCCTTCAATGTAACATAACACATACATTAACAGTTCCTACAAAACTAAAAGTGAAATGGATGTACAGTATGTGACATTGCAACATCTCTAACATCAAGCTGTTAGTGAGTGAGGTTGCGTCGATGTTCTCAGATAGCTGGATACATGAACAACCTACAAAAGTATGAGGAATCGGATAAGAAAAAGAGCCTTCAGAGATGTAGCTCTTGTTTTACTCTTCCTTCTCCTGAATAAAAAAGCTAAAATTATTAACAATATGGCATCACCTGGCTTGATTATTCTATAGTCTTGGAGGATAGAAAAATCCACAAGGCATCTCACTTTTCTAAAATCCCTTATTACTAAAGGCCGGCAGGCTTGGATTACCTGGATTCAACATCAGATAGAGAGATGTCACTCCAAGTACTTTCCATGTTTTTACCCAACTCTGAGAGCTTAGTCTGGATTTTTTGTTTCAGTAATTCTGTAAGCTCTAGCAAGCATTGCTGAAACTAAGAAAAGAACAGAGAATTCTTACACCAAGTGGAAAATATTGTTTGGTTATATACTTTAAAATGCTCCAACCATTCTAACCATTTAAGTAAGGAGTAACATAAATATTAACAAGCAAAATATAAAACAATTTGAAAAATGTACAATATATCAATCTTTATATACCATACACGTAAAAGATTTAAAAAAAATATCCAAATGACATCATCAAAAATCTCTTCAACCAGCATGTGCACACGCATGTGAGTACATGAGCACACATACATATACAAAGGCAGCTGAATTTCCTTTAGGATGTACCAATATCAGTATGAATTTTTTAAAAAATAATTATATAGCCTTTTCTTTAATTATCAAATTTCCTACATCAACTAATTTGCATTTCATAATACGTTCATAACCCAAGGGGCAACTGTAGTCAGACAAGTTTCTACTTAACAAAAATCATATGTATTCTGAAAAATTAATATCTGCTACTTGGTTGAAGCTTTATTTATTATTTCACATTTCAGACTCACAAAGAAACAGGATATACAGTAGAGGAACGGACTACATACATGTCTTCTATTGGTATTTGGACATTTTGATTTTGAACTGCATGGACTATGGCTATTTCCAGATTACATATTTTAAAAATGTGAGAAATAATAATGGCAATATTAAAGCATGCCTCAGAAATATGGGAGCCGTGGTGACACAATAGCTAGAATGCAGTATTGAGGCTAATTCTGACTCTGTCCTCTTCCAGGAGTTCAATCATGACCCGCTCAAGATTGACTCAGCCTTCCATCCTTCCGAGGTCAGTAAAATGAGGACTGAGATTGTTGGGGGCAATATGTTGGTATTTACAATCTATTCAGAGAGTGATATAAAGCACTATGGAGCGGTGTGTTAGCCTAAGTACTATTGCTATTGCTATTTAAAGACACTGAACAATCCAACAATATCTTCTAGTTCTGTTAAACTACAACAGGAAGCTCTCACCTTGGAGCGGTCTGGATCACAAAAGTCTAATAAAGTATCACAGACATGATAACCTAGAGATTTGAGATCTTCAAAAGTAAAATGACAGCTACTTTTAGCACCTGAGAAAGACAAATAAACATGTGGCTCTTTAGTCTTTAGTACAGTAAATACCTTGATATGCAATCAAGAGAAAAAGTTCTGAAAGTCTTTCCTTTATTCATCATATTGTATAATTTATTACTTAACCAGCATTCTTTGCACAGTCTTTTCTTTTGCCATCAGAACCCATTATACCTATTATTCAATAAAGGGCAGAGCATCCATTATAAACTTTTTTCTTTCTTTTGCTCCTTGTTCTTTTGCTTAATGCTCCTGTAGAGTGAGAATTTACTCTTCTAGTTGTACTGTTTTTCTGATCTCTTGCTTTGTACAATTATGTCATATTTTTTCCATGCAGTGCTAATCAGAATTAGCTAAGATCTACCTCCCACACTTTCCTTAGCTCCTTAAAAATTCAAAAGGAGATAGTTTTAGATGTCCTCACTCATGCTGCTAATGCTACCAAACTCTAGCATTTAGCATTTGACAGAATTTTAAAATTTCTAGTTCCTTGATGTTGTTAGGATTTCATAGCCAATAAGCTTGTTCCTTCTTTTTCCAGTGCTGCCCACTTTACAGTATTTGAATTGAAATACTCTTATGTTGGAATCCATTCCGTGTGTGTGTGTGCAGGGCAGTTTCTGCTGTCTGAAACACACATACACAGGGATGCAAAAACATCGCACCAGAAACATCTTTCCGGCCTAACGGTCAGGACTCACTATGCAGCCTCATGTAACATGAACTATGTGAGCCAGCTACTCCCACACCTGCCCTTTCTCCCCCCTATGCTGTGCTGTAACTTTCTATTCCCCCTCTCCCCCTCCCAATGCCATGCAGCTTGTAACTTTCTATTCCCCCTTTGCCCACCCTTTGCCATGATGTGATTTTCTATTGGTTTATTTGTAGAATGCTGTGATTTTTCATTCGTTTACTTGTACCATGTGTGATTATATATGCCTTTTGATACGCTCCTTTTTGATGACGCTGTAACTAACTTTTCTAATAAAAGAGACCTTCGATGTTCACTCGAAGTTCGCTCATCCCGAGGATTTCTGACTGGTGTTTTCCTTTCAATTCGGCCAAGGACACATGAGCGGCCCTCCAGTGTGGCGACAACGCCGCACTCTTACCATACAGTCTCTGTTTCACAAGGAGATACCTTTATTTTCACACAACATGAAGCAATCAGCCCAAGTAATGAAATAAAGCTGGGATGGCTATGAATTTAAATGTAAGCCTAAGGTGCAAATCCTTGCATCCTATATATTGAGTGCACAGCTGCTAAACCAAAACCAATTAAAAGTTGCCAGACCATTAAAAACAAGAGAATATGTGTAGTTCGGGGTTGACCACTATGGGGCCCTTGGTGCTCTCTGAGCTTGGTTATTTTCCTATTATCTGAATTTAGACCTTCTCTAGCCATTTTTAACATATACTGTACTGCGTTGAATAGAAAAAAGGTGTACACTCACCAAGTGTTGACCCACTAAATGTAGATTCCATAGTATAACTGTTTAGTATTCCCATTCTCCACATCACAACTCGTCCAGTTCCTTCTTTACACTTCTGAACTTGAAATTTACAGCTGTTGAAACAAAACTAAACATCCAAATTGTCCAAATTAGAATTATTACATTATTAGAGATATTTCTTTCTTAAAGCATTGTTCGATCAGGCCAAATAACTAACTAACACTCAGTAGTTCATTAGATATATTTAAAAGAATACTCTGGAATGCAGTTGATTGGGAGCCAGTTTGGTGTATTTGGTGAACGTGCTGACCTAGAAATCAGGAGACAGTGAGTTTTATGCCTGTTTCAGGCATGAAAGCTGTCTGGATTAACTTTGGGCCAGTCACTCTCTCTCATTCCAATCCACCTCAGAGGTTATTGTGGCGGGAAAAATAGGAGACAGGAATATTAGAGATTTTCACCACTATGAATATATAAAAAGTGATATAAAAATTAATAATAAAATCATTTCTCAGATTAAAAACTGTGTATCTTTTAGGGATTGTTGGCTCACAATGTTAAACATCTTGTGATGTGCTTGGATTAGCTTAACGTCAAATAAAATACAATTCTAGATAGAAAGTACGAGCTAGCAAATCAGCGTTTCAGAATGTTAGTTGTTATGTTCTATCATTGCTTCTGATTGGTTACATGAAATTTGGCAGTGGGCATATATGGTAGATACACAATCTTTAAAAAAAAAATCTACAGCCAATATTTACACATAGCCTTGAAATAGTTGTATTCTGAGATGTAGTATCTCATTCTCCAGCTTCTGATAAAGTGCACATTTCCCTTCCACACCACCTTATCCTTGGATTCTGCCTGATCTTCAGCTACAATTATTTTCTGTAAACGTTTTCCAAATTGATTTCACAGGGGAACATATAATGAACAGATAACTGCTTCAAAAGCATTTTCTATGTTGACAACAGTGACATGCATGGCTTTTTAAAATTAGAGATATAATTTCAATTTGATTTTTAAGAATTGCATTAATAGACCTGGTTTCTTGAAAATAAAAAAGATTTACTTTTATGAATTTGTATTACATTTTTGTTATCTGCTCATACTGAATAATTTACTATATTTGTAAAATGTAAGAAAAATCAATATCATCTTTCAAGAATATTGAAACAGTAGATGAATTGCATTTCTGTTCCAAATTAACTCAAGTTTCATCACCAAATTAAAAGAACATGCTTCTACATCTATTAACTAAAAATGGCACATCAGAATATATAGTTTATTTAAGGGAGGAAAATTTTGATTATTGTAATAATTTTTTTTTGAAAGAAAAGGTATTTCCCAATAATGAAAAGAAGTCTGAATAATATGATATCTGTGAAATTTAGAGAATTTATACTGAATTAATGCATGTACTGAATTAGAATCTGCATATACAATACATTTGGCCCCACCTTATCAGGAATATTCTTGCTCATCATAAGAGGAAAGATTCGCTCATGAAGTAACTGATTTTGTGCATGCTTGTTGTTACAGCCATACATGAAGATATTATTCTTTCGACTATGCCCATGGATATCACAATAGAGCAGAACTTCACGTTCCTCAAGGACTCTTTCAGAAATGGGACACAAGACACAGATAAAGAAAGTGAGATCCAAAGAAACCTGTGACTGTCTGATTTCATACAGATCAAGATGTAAATAACAGTATGGTATTGTCGTCCCCCCCCCGCCCTCCCACGTATGGCAATATCAGTTAGGAATTTGAAAATTCCTGATTGATGCATCTTTAACTAGATCTAGTAGTTACCTAAAGTAAATAACTGATTGATTCTTGTCTTGTGAAACTGACAGAATAGCTGTAATCCAGTATACTTCTGGCTGAAAAAAAGTCAGTTTAGCCTAATGGTTAAGGTATCAGGCTGGAAAGCGGGAGACCATGAGTTTTAGTCCTGCTTTAGCCATGACAATTGACCGGGTGATCTTGGGCCACACAGGGGAAAATAGGTAGAGGAAGTTTGTTGGATATGCCTTGAGTTATTTATAAAAAATAAGAGAATAAAAACAAGAAAATGAAAGCACAAGAATTCTAGAAACAATAAAGAAAAGGAAAAACCAACAACACTGATTCTCTGGCACTTTTCTCAAAACTTACCAAACTGGGGATAGCCCTTAAAAATAATGGGTAATTAGATCATTTTACCTGCTTATTGAAAAATATGTACGATATCCAGGAAGCAACAATTAAAACAGAAAAATGTAGACCAGCTATACGGTTCTAAATTGGGAGTGTTCCAAGATTGTATATTCTTACTTTCATAGACATATGCAACAAAATTTCATTTTAACGTATGCCAATTAGTGTATATTCAAAGTGAGAATAAAGTTATTCTAAGTCTAAATTATAAGAAATGCTAAAATTACTGGTATCAATATTTTGATGATATCACTTTAATGGCACAAGTGAGAAAGCCTCAAAGAATTATCTTACTGAAGATAAAAAGAGAATGCAAAAGCCGGTCTTGCTGTTAAGATTATGTCAATAAACAGTGCCATCCCAATGTGATAATAGTAGAGAAGTTGTCTAGGAAGTAACATCATTTTTCTAGGCTCAGATAAAAAATGCTGATTGAAACTATAAAAAAAGATATCTACTACTGGGAGAAGTATGCTAACTCTAACAGAATATTAATGTAAAGAGACAACACACTTCTAACTAATTTGCCTATTGCCAAGGCTATGCTTTTTCCCCATTATAATATATGGCTGTGAAAGCTGGACCATTAGAAAAGCTGAAGGAAAACGGATGTTTTGGAATTGTGGTGTTGGAGAAATTGTTGAAACAAACATAAGAGTACAAAAAGAACAAACAATTCAATATTAGATGTAATAAAATCAGTTTGCTCACTGGAAGTACTAATAATGAAGCGAAAGCTTAAAACATTTTGGATAGTATGATGAGAATGCAAGAGGCACTAGAAATCCTGAGGCTTGGAAAAAAAAAAAAGGCAGGCAAAAAAGGCTGGCAGAAGAAAAGATAGCTAGATACAATCATTGATAATACAAGCATGAGCTTATAAAACTGAAAGAAGCATTCACTGAGAAATCCTGGGAAAATGGTGTTCATCAGGACACGGGATTAGAAATGAAGAATAATTGAATAACAACATAAATGCACATAGCTTATATGAATGCTTGCTAGATGCTGTCCCTGACTAACAACTAAACAATATTTCCAGAGATGCTTAAGAGCATGTGCACTTTTCTGTATCTTCTGTTTACATTATACCTTCCTCCTTTTTGCAGAACATATATTGTACAAGCCAGTAATTTCACCAAATAGCGCTGGCATATTTGAGAATCTGGTGTCAACATCCAAGATCATTACAGTGATATCATCATATAAGATAACCTTGGAAAATTGTTCCAAAGTGAAATTCTGTGGGCAGTTTTCTATATACCCATAACACTTTCTCAAACCCATCCCATAATATTTCAACATATGGCATATATTCTACCACTTATTCCATTAATGGTTTCTTTTCCTTTATGAATCCCAACAGCCTGCCTCCTATATGCAAAGTAAGTATGATATTTGTTTTATTGCAATTTTTTTCAGGAACTGTTTTAGGTATATATACATATATTCACAGTGTATATGTATGTGTTTATTTACTTCAATGTATAGCTGCTCAACTCACATGCAGCAACTCTGTATAGACACATTCACACAAACACACTGACAGACAGAGTTCTTAATGTATGCTGCCTTTAAAAATTTCACATAAATCTCTGTCATTTACCTCTTGATCATGGCCCGAGTATACCAAATGCAGGGGAAAGATTCCTTTAGTTCTGTCCTATAGTTTCTGTTCAAGTCTCTTCCTGCCAACGAACAGCGATAGTTCCCCACAATAACTCCATCTGGGTTCAGCATGGGCACAACTTTGAATATGAAGAGATCTCGAAGGAGATGAGCATCAGGAGCATCACTCACAATAAAATCTAAAAAACCTCTCATCACCCATGAGCTGTTTGTTTCCCCAGGATGGACTCTGGCACTTAGGATAATCGCTTTTTTTGCTGCTGCAGCAATGACACCTTTGGATGGATTGGTAATGGTGAGAAGGTATACTATGTTTCCAGCTAGACTGTTGCACAGAGGGCGGAGTTTGCAATACTGAGAATAGAGTGGATTCCCTACCAATGTCAAAAGATAATTTTGTAGGTCTGAATAGGTATAAGGATAGAATTGAGCAAAGTAACATGTGTCATAGCTGTTAGGAAAACACACTGTCCATGTGAGGCAATAGAGGGTTTGACCTTCTTCTGTGTTGTATTTATAATACTTGATATCATTCCCCACTCTCCTCCAGCCAATACCCTGAGACTCCGCATCCTTCTGAGAATACATAAGAGGCTTCATCCCCATATTGTAGAGGCTTTTGGCTTTCATCAGATTAACAATTGTGAAGCGGTACTTGACATCTTTTCTAGTATTTTGTACTCTGAAGTAGTACCACTGGGTGTGCTTGCTGGTATAAAGATCCGTCCGCAAAGTGAGTTCATATTCATATTCCCCTCTGAAATGAAACAGGGTGAAGAAAGACGCATTAAAGGGCAGCAGCAGCCTCTTCCTCTAGGAAGATATACATAATAACATGTCCTACAATCTTATTTAAAGATTAAATGGAATGATTTGTTTTATTATGGTCTTCTTCTCTGTGAATAGAGAGTTCAAGGATACACAACATGTTAATGTGGTATATAATTTGTTATTTGTGTGGCCTATGAGGCCTTGGCCTGATACCATTTTGAGGAAATGGGAGTTTTAAGAGATAAACTGAGTGCCTTAAGTCTTGCTGGTCTGTAGTATTTAGGTAATGTGCTTTATATGAAAAAAGCCCTATTTACCTAAGATAATAGTTTCCTTTGAAAGGCATAATAAATCATTTGCAAAATTTGCAAAATAAGGAATATTGTGAACCTTAAGGACCGTGTTGTGTCATAGAAAGTTGTTAAGACGCATTCAGACTAGATAAGCTCCAAGTATAATCATATTATTATGGAGCTTGTTTACTATGGAGGTTTTTTCACTTTTCCCTCTTTAATAGATGTTTTGATAGAAAGCACAGAAAGGTTGGTAAATGGAAAATGAGCTTTGAGAAACAAGATTACTTCATGATAAACATTTCCCTAGCAACATATTTAGCTTTTAAGATGCTGTAAGAATTGTTTTAAAGTGTTACAAAGAGTTAATCAGGTGTTTCACATTTATGCAGAGAATTACATAAATTAAAATATCTGGAATAATTTATTATTCAGGTAATCCTTACAACCATTTGTTTAGTCACCGTTCAAAGTTGCAACGGCATTGAAAAAAGTGATTTAGGACCATTTTTCACACTTATAACCGTTACAACTTCCCCATGGTCACATGATCAAAATTTGGGCACTTGGAAACTGGCATGTACGTATTTATGACAGTTGCACTGTCCCAGGGCAGAGGTGGGTTCCGGCAGACACTACTGCCGGTTTGCTCATGTGGACACTGCGCGTGCATGCACAATGCAATTTAAATTGTGCATGCGCAGAACTGAAAAACAAGATGGTGTCACCTATGGTGTCGCCCGGAGAACCGGTTCGAGGGCATAGCAGGTCTGGATCACTGTCGGTTCCAGCGACTCAGGCTGCCAAAGCACTACCAGTTCGGCCCAACTGGTCCAAACTGGTAGGAACCCACCATTGTCCCAGGGTCATGTGATCACCATCTGTAACCTTCCCAGTTGGCTTCTGACAAGCAAAGTCAAAGAGGGAAGCTTAACTACTGCATGGTTCACTCAACAATTGCAGCGGTTTGCTTAACAATTGTGGCCAAAAGAAGATTATAAAAATGTGGCAAACCCCTTAACAACTGCTTTGTTAGCCACAGAAACTTTGGGCTCAAATGTAGTCATAAGTCGAGGACCACCTGTATAGCAATTTACATTAAAACTGATGCTCTATAGAGATTCGCAGTCATCCGGGTCATGGTTGTCCCAAAGATGCTTTTTTTCAGGAGGCAACTAGACTTTCTTATTTTTTCTTTGAAGATGTTTCTCATCCAAGAAGCTTCTTCAGCTCTGATTTCCATTCCACACTATCCTTTAAAGCTTCTTGGATGAGAAACGTCTTCAAAGAAAAAACAAGGAAGTCCAGTTGCCTCCTGAAAAAAAAGCCCCTTTGGTACATTAAAACTGATGATAAAATTACATCTGAAATATGAGGCATTTCTTATAAGCACTGGATTTGTAATAAATTTTAGCACTGTGAATGTTCATTCAGTAGCATAATAAATGTCCACCAACTGATTATCCTAGTCCTTCATTTAAAAAAAAAATGTTCTCCTTTTCTGGTCCCAGACAGTTTCCTGCCCTGTATGATTCCCAACCCTTCTTACTCACACCCTGACTGCTTTCTGGAGATTCCCACTTTCAAAGCGTGATTCAAATAACAGTACGGTGTCTTCTGGATCTTTTAAGCTGACGGCAGCTGACTTGAGAGGTTGCCTTGACCCTCCAACTCGTGAAGCGATAAAATAGGTACCTGTGATTGCTGCAGAAGAAGAGGAATATCTGTCAATGAGGCATCATAGATCTTGGTTTCAGAAACTAGATCTGTGAACTAACTCTGCAAAATCTGTTGTTAAAGTTACTGACAAACACGAATCTCCCATGGATAAATAGCAATTAAAGTTGACTACAGATAAGTAATGTGATTTCAGTTTTTCTACTTTCTAAAACCTGGGCAAAATTAAAAACATTGTACAGTACTTCTCTAACTTTCCTCAATGATGAATAAGAACTAAGTTAGATAATACATGCAAGGCAGTATGTGTAACAATCCTCAATGTTATAGAGGCTATGGTGGAGCAGCAGAATAGTTGAAAAGCTCATAACTCTTCAACAAACATTTTTTTTATACTTTTCTACCTTGTGCCCTTTTTTGAAATAAGTACTTTGGCATCTTTAGTAAAGAACCTGAGATAGGGCAGGGAGTTAAATTTAAGCAGTTTAAGTCCCACTCATCCCATTTTTTCCCTTTCTCCCTGTGGTCTGTTTACCTACACTACTTTTTTTCTCTTCTGTACTCTAATTCACAGCTGATTCTTGTCTTTATTTTCTAATTCTCCATTTCCAAGTTTCTCTTCTGATTTTATCAACAAATTCATTCTATTCTGTTGAATTCTCTTAGTTTTCCACCATTCTCTCTGGTTGCCAGTTTCTCCACTTATTCTTTATTAGGATTAATAAAATGCATTTAAAGTATCTGTATATGTTGTTTTTAAAATAAAATAATCTTTCTTAATTATAAGAGAGACCAATGTCTATGGAACATAACTTTTATCTGATACATTATTTGACATAGATATGTATTATGCTAGATATTGTGAGGCCGAGCACCACTATGGAAAAGCCGAAATATGATATTTTAAAAAATATTACAATACATATAAAATAAGACATAGATTATTTATACTCTCAGTTTAATGTAGGGTTTACATAACTGATTTGTTTACAGATGAACAAAGTCATGTATATGTCAAAATGTATATGAACTTGCAGAAAATCATTAAAAATCAATTCAATAATTAATAAAAAATTGTAATTGATTACACTGAACTATCAAGCAGTTAGGCTCTAAAACATGCAAAGCTAATGTTTGTAGATATAGATATATATACCCTCAGACAGATGTACATGGATGATTTCAAAATTAAGATATTTTTCAACCTTTACAGTAGATAGTCTGCACTGTTCTCAGCCACTGACTTCCTATAGTAAGGCAACTTTTTAGCAATGTACTATCACCCCATGTATACCAATACCTGGTTCTATGCAAAAGACAACAGTTCCAGAACTCTCTCCAACGATTTCCGGTGCAAATTCATTTCCAGTTGGTTGATAAAAAGGTTCTGGTTCAGGAGGAACCCATTCTAATAAAGAAGAAAATAATGGCACATATTTATTTCACCATGATTTTGAATTCCTAATTTAAAAATTGAATAGTTCCTGTTTATTCTGGTTGATTCCTTCTTCCAATTTGAGTTTCCTCTCAGATCCATTCACAGTATATGCCAGCATGCAGAAAACATGTTAATATATACAGTATATTCTTCTTTCAATGAACATCAATGAATGTTCTGAGTCAACTACCTAAATATAGTAAAATACTTATGTACTTATTGAACCATTTTGTCACCAACTAGGTATTTAAAAAATCTAAAAGGGTGTAAAATAATACAGGTAGTTCTCAACTTACAGCAGTTTGTTTAGTGGCTATTCAAAGTTACAACGGTACTGAAAAAAGTGACATGACCATTTTTCACACTTACAACTGTAGGAACATCCCCATGATCATGTGATCAAAATTAGGATGCCTGGCAATTGACTCATAATTATGACGGTTGCAGTGACCTGTTGTCATGTGATCACCTTTTGCAAACTTCTGACAAGTAAAGTCAATGGGGAAGCCAGATTCACTTAACAACCATGATAATAATAACTTAACAACTGTAGTAATTCACTTAACAACTGTGGCAAAAAAAGTCATAAAATTGGACAAAATTGACTTAGCAACTATCTCGCTTAGCAACAGAAATTTTGGGCTCAATTGTGGTCATAGGTTGAGGATTACCTGTACTGTCCTGAATACTTTTCATTTATCAATTTTTAAAAAACTTAATATTTAAGAGGCTATTTTAAAACAGTTTGTTATTGAAATCCAATATATAATTTGTCCCAAATTATCCCAACCCTAAACAGGATAGACAAATTTTAACTACAAATTCAATACCAAATTAAGATGATGCTTTGGGAGTTTTGAGGAAATCTTAAATTACCAACTCCTGCTGTAATTAAACTAAAGGTTTAACATTATGTTTTAAATTTAAATTTAAAAGTATTCTGAATAATGATTGGAAATGCAAATACCTATTTAAAAAGCTAATTAAACACAAACAAAAGAGCCTTGCAAAAACAAATTCAGCATTATTTCCAAACAGTTATTCTTATGTTGCTATCCTTCTTAAGTTCTTTGAAATTTTCATCAGGCATTTGAATAAAAGTGATTGTCAACATTTGGATCTGACTCTGTTGATAGTATATATTTGGATTAAAAAAAACAATTCTCATCAAAAGTTGCTGACTTAGCAGTCATAGGAAAAGTGGACCTGTTCTCTTATGCATTTGGTTACAAGCAGAAAACATTTCCTCCCACAGCACATCATTAAATTCTGAAATTCATTACTCAAGACATAATAATCAATAATTAATATTCAACCTGGAATACCTCCAGATTGTGAATAGCATAATTCTAAGTACTAGCTGTAGGGGAACAATGGTGGGACAGGGCCTGTATCTCCTACTCTGATTTCCTGAAACATCCAGTTGGCCATTGTGAGATGCTGGATTTAGATAGACCTTGGTCTGGCCCAGCTTAACAATTCCCATATTCTTCTTTTCTCTTAAATGTATAGGTTATTTCTGGAATGATTTGCAGTCATATGAGCAAAATTCTATTTGTACAGTAAATACATTACATTACAACGAATACATTATTCCCAATATAAGATTCAGGTTACCGGTGTGATAGATATGATCCTCAATTACTTCACACTCGATTGGCCAGAGTGGGGTCAATTTTGAATTTCTACCTCTAGGAAGAGAAAAAAGATTCCGAGGTTCCCGTAAGCGCAAGATACTAGGGCTTTCTAGTTGATCAAGCATGCGCTGTTTACTTTTAAGAAGTGCCGTTTCCATCACTAGTGAACCTGCCAAAGAAAAGACATATATGCTACTACTTTCTTTTCAGGCATTCAGTGAAGATTTTATTTCATTTTCAATATTTAATCCACAACAGGTTAATAATTCAGTTTACTTACAGAGTAGGGTCTTGTCTGAATCATGTTCATTTCTATCTTTTTTGCAGAAGTTGCCTGCTGTCAATAAATGGCATGAGCTCTCCCAGCTTTCAAAAGGAAAACTAAATTTGTGAGGGAAATTTTCCTCATCTAAGAAGTAAAATTTTGTAATATTATTTCGCAAAGTTATTTATTTATAATTAATCTTATAATTACAGGCAAATACATTGAGAAATTACGTGGATTACCCAGACCATATTTATATGCAAGGCTCATAGGAACAGTTGCCAACATGTTCTATTCAACTGCAACTGTCTGCAGATTCCACATTGCCTTGCACTACTCTACACTCATACATCTACCCACCAGAGCAAGGAATGTTGCAGGTCTCATCCCCTATGGAGATACACCTGGTGGGACCCAGAAGAATGCCCTTCTCCATGGTGGCTCCCTCTCTCTGGAACATCATTTCCCCAGAGATTAGAATGACCCCCACTCTAACACTCTTCTGGAAGGCACTGAAGACCATGTTCTGCCAGCGGGCTTGGGGAACCCAGAGCAGGATAGAGCCAATTAAAAGGCTTGTGTGATGTGTTGCCGCCAGGTGGGGGGCTATTATACTATTTTATTAATTTATTATGTGATTATTCTCTTCTATTAGTTTTATTGTTATATGAGGTTTTTATATTCTTGTAAGCCTCCTTGAGTCACCATGTGCGAATAGGTGGCAATATAAATTTCCTAAAATAAATAAAAATGAATAAATATTTCTCAAATCTATTCTGAAGGATTTGGGAATCCCAGATTCCCAGAAGTCTGTTTGTTTCAGTTAGGTGATATTGTAGTCCAATATCATACTGCTAATCCTTGAAATTGGTATATACTGTACATAGGAACAGTTTTAACTGCTGTCTAATGTGATGTGCATTATCAATTTCAAGAGCAGACAATTTTTTCAGCTGAAGGCTGCACTAAATAAACCAAAAACAATGTTGCCTTTAAGTCCCAAAAGTGCTTTTCAAAAGGCAACTGGACTTCCTTTGTTTGTTTCTTGAAGATTGTCCAGCTGCTTTTTGAAAAGCACCTTTGGGACAACTATGACCTGGATGATTGAGAATCTCCATCGACAGCTGGCCTCCAATGGTCACTGAAGGTTTGCTAATGCGGTGCTGTCACAGTAAGTAAGGATGAACATTTCTGACCTATTTTGTTTTTTGGCAGATGAGAATTGAGACAGAAGGAGGAGGTTTAATCATCAATTTCAATCTTTATATTAGAAAAAATGCAAGAACTTTTGATATCAAATATCAACTATGTTTTATTAAATTCCACTGGTATCATTCTAGGGATAGCCAAGGGAGAATGAAAAGTCCATTATTCCCCCTATGTCCCTAAACTCAATTGAGGAAGGATTATCTGTTTCAGATGATTACGACTGAGACAGAAGTAAAAGAACAGTGTCTTATATTGTGTAGTATCTGTGTGTTCCTATAAGTCAGTCTTGACTCCTGGCAACTGCTTGGACAAGTCCAGTCAGTTTTCTCCACAAAATTTTCAGAAGAAGTTTGCCAGTGTCTGAAAGATAAAAGAGCTGAAAGATAAAAACTCATATAATCTGCAAATTTATAATCCAGTGTCTTTAACCATTAAATATTTTTTAAATATTTCCTCATTTTATAAGTGCAACAGTTTTTTTGACTAAAAGACATTTTTTTCATATTAGAACCTATCACCTAAAGTGTTATCCACCTATTCGCAAGCTGCAGTGGTGGGATTCAAAATTTTTTACTACTGGTTCTGTGCTTGGCTTGGCTTGGTGGGCATGGCAGGCAGGAGAATACTGCAAAATCACTATTCCCTCCCCACTCCTGGGGGAAGGATGCTGTAAAATCTCCATCACCACCACACTCCAGGGGAAGGATACTTGTAAAATCCCCATTTCCTCCACACTAACCTGCTTTCCAGCTCCGTTCTCCTGTGCAGGGCAACAGAAGAAGACCCAGCCGATCATCTGGGAATCTGATCATCTGGGACTCGGGAGGCAGCGAATAGATGGGGGCAGGGCCAGTCAGAGGTGGTATTTACCGGTTCTCTGAACGACTCAAAATTTCTGCTACCGGTTCATCTGAATTAGTCAGAACTAACTGAATACCACTTCTGACAAGCTGGCAGAAAACTACAATAGCACAAAATTTGTTGTGCCCATTGCTTATCTGTCTTGCCTTCACCCTGTCTTCAATTACTGTAAGTCAGTTGACTTCTCTCCATATTAATATGTGGCAAAGCTTAATAGATTTTATACATCTTGAAGCCATCCCTGGATGGTGTCAGAATAAAGGGGAAATTATTATTTTAACATTAGCACAGCTAATGACAACTTAAGCTTGTCTCACCTTTGAACTGCGGAAAATGGACAAGGGCAAGCTGATTTTTAGCTACAATATGTTTCTTTTACTGCTACTTTATATTTTCATTTGCTGTCAATTCTTAGAAGCTGGGGAGGTTCCAAGGTCATAAAAAAGGAGGTTCAGGAATTGCAGCTTTGCCTCATGTTATATCCAGCGTGATAGGAAATCTAACTCTAAAAGTGCTTAATGCCATCTGGTCTCCATAGAGAATTATATGAAGGAAGCAATTATTGCATGTTAAGTAACAGTAAACACTAAGGATTTCATAATGTTCAAACAATAAAAACAAGCAGTGAAAAGCAATCCCTAGCTAGTGACAAAGGCAGTATCTCTTATTGCAGGATGTTACAGATGCAATAAAAATGGAAACATCAAATTGAGAACAGATCTTACCTCTGAAATAACCATAGTACTGGAGATGATGATATATAAACTGTTCATATGGGTCTTTAAACTGCTGTGGAAACAGTTAGATTTCTGATCATTCTAAAAGCCAGCATGTATTCTTGAAACTCATTTACCATTGTGTAGCAATGCTGAGGCCAAAATAAAATATCGGAATATGCTGCATTTTAAGTATGCTCTTGAAAGAACTACTTGCTGATCACACCCAAAATACACACACACACACACATACACACACACTACCAAAACTGTTGGATCTGTTTGTTTGTAGCCTTGAACCAAGGTAACTGAAATGGGCTTATAGAATTCTGAGACCAATGACTCTAATGGGAATGAAAATTGGGAAAGTTGTGGCCACTTCCCACCATCATGCCTTCAATTATACTTCCCAGAAACCTGTAGGTTGCAGGGCACAAGAAAAGTTGGGAGAGGCATACTTCCATCTTCCTTCCTGTCTCCCTCTAATCCCTGAGGGCTGGCAACAAGGCCGAATGGGCAAATGCCCATTGGCTGCTTTGGAACCAAGACCCAAAAATCTGAAATCTCCTAATGGTAATGACTGGTGAGGAAAGGGGGAAGGAGCAACTGGGATGCTTGCTGGCAAGGTAGAGTTAGCTAGGGAGTGCTGGTAGTTGACAGGTGAGCCTTCTTCCTCCCTAATGGGAGGCACCATTGTTGAATAGGGGAGCAGAGGTTTGCTGCTGCCTTTATTCCTCCTCTCCAATCAAAGTGATAGGCAGTTCTGGGAGGGGGGAAGGAGGAGAAGAGGCAGTGGCAGCTGCTTTACTGGGGCTCTGCTGAGGGTCATAGAGGAGCAGAAATTGAGCAAACATATATTATCTATGGAAAGAGGAAGAACAAGAGTGTGTTTGAGATGCCAGCTGATGAGGTAGTGCTGGCTGGGAACTATTGGTGGTTTGGAGACGTACCAAAATGGGGAGCAGGGATGCAGTTTTACTTGTGGTCTGCAAGTCACTTGGTTCCCCCTTCCTCCAGCAAAGTGCAGACAATACTGCTGTTGCCTGAGGATCATGGTGGAGGGGAAAGAGTGCAAGCCTACATTGTATGCGGAAAGAATGACTTAAAGGGTCACAGGTTGTCAAGTATATTACTAAAACTCTCATGTCTGTAACCTTTAACTGGGTGAAGCAGTGCATTGTAGGGCAACACATTTTGAACTGAGATACCTCAAATGGACTAACTTACAGAAAGTGTCCAAAATCTGGAACCCTTATTCCAGTGGAAATGAAATTTGGCAAATTATATAAAATATTT